GGCCTCAGTGTGGGCCGGGGACCCTGGAAGCCACCCCCGACCCCAGTCATCCTGGGGGCATGGCCTCAGTGTGGGCCGGGGACCCTGGAAGCCACACTTTACCTTGGCTCCCTGTCCTGGAGCAGCTGTTTCATACTTTGTAGAACAGGAGGAGGTATATTTAGGAGTAGAAGGTCAAGTTCACAGTGACTTTCAAGATGAACCAGGACTTGAAAGACGTTTCGGGTAACGGAGGGCCGCCTGGGTGTTTACCTTGGGTCCCAGAGCTGAGTGTCCACCATGCTGTGAGAGGACCCTGGAGAAGTCCCAGCAGCCCATGCCCAGGTGTTGTCATGCCGTGTGGCAAGGACAGTGTTCTAGAACCTTCTCTACCTAAAGGATGCTCAGGGGCTCCTACCAAATTCTTGTCCCAGAACCTCTTACTGACTTTTCTCCCAGGGACCCCGTGTTCTAGAAGATTTTGGCCATCAGTTTAAGCCTGCCTCAATTATCAGTCCCATCTCAGGAGTGCTGATTCCCTTGGGGTCTGTGCATCCTTGGCCAGTGATTCCGATGACGTGATCTGGTCAGCCAATCACCTTTCAGATATCCTGATGATGTCATCAGGGACCAATCATAGTTTCTGCTCAGATTCCACAGGGCCAGTTCTGGTCAGAAGCAGCAGTGTCGGGTGTTACCTTTGGGAGGAACCCCCAGCAGCCCTGGGAGGGACCTCAGCTTGCGAACTTGTACTTCAGTCCTAAGCAGCAGGCGCGGCTGCGTTTCTGCACAGCTGATTTGAGACAGGCTCTTAAAGGTCTGAATAGCAGTGTCTGGGACCAAGCTCCCTGTGGGGAGAACATTCCAGCTTTTCCCGGTACACACTGGTTTCTGAGCCAGCAGCCTGAAGTTACCGTCACTGCTCCTGAAGGAATGGTAGTGTCCACCTGCAGGTGCCTTCAGGCTGGGGAGCAGTGACTCTAAAAAGACCTGTGTCCCCTGGTAACCCTGTTTTCATGCCTCTCAAGCTTGAAAAATGTCACCGGGTCCAACCAGGGTCCTGTGAAGAACCCTTGGGATCTTGGTGGCCTGGGGGGTGTGGGCTGGTGGCCTGCTCTGGTGGGTTCAACCCCAGAGGTAACTGAGGTGCCTGCTAAGGGTCTGGACAGGAAGTGGACTTAAAGTGGTGTGTTTTCACTCTGAGACCCTAGCTTTGTCTAAAGGAGGCCAGGGCCGTGTGCAGTGGCTTACACCTGTAGTCCCAGCACTTTGAGAGGCCAAGCAGGACTAGCCTGGACAACATAGCAAGACCCCATCTCTACAAAAATAAAATTAGCCGGGCACAGTGGCATGCTTCTGTGGTCCCAGCAACTCGGGAGGCTGAGGCAGGAGGATCACTTAAACCCTGCAGGTTGAGGCTACAGTGAGCTGTGATGGCACCACTGCACTCCAGACTGGGTGACAGAACAAGACTGTCTTTGAAAAAAAAAATTACAATAAATAAAGGAGGCCAGGCCACCGCAGCCCTGCCCCACCATGAACATCCGAGATCGCCTGACGTGTGGCATATGACTCTGTCGGAGGCCATGGGGAGCCACCCCACCCTTACTGCATCATATAAAGCTCAGAGCACAGACCCAGGCCCACACCTGTCTTTCTCATCAGGCAGTTTCAATGCCCAGTCTGTTGCTGCCAGGTATGGCAACAGATCCTCTGTGCCCACCCTGGCTTTTAAAACTAGGAAGGCGAAGGCCGGGTGCGGTGGCTCACGCCTGTAATCCCAGCACTTTGGGAGGCCGAGGTGGGTGGATCACTTAAGTCTAGGAGTTTGAGACCAGCCTATGCAACATGGCGAAACTGTCTCTATAAAAGTAAAAAAAAAAAAAAAAAAA